GTGTGTGTGGGGGGGGGGGGGGGTCCTGGTTTTACAGCCAAACCTTGGTGGATGCAGATCTGAACCAGGAGGGAGATGGAAATGAAATAAGGGAAGGGTAGAAAAATGAAGAGGATGAGTGGAAGGTGGAGGAGAAAGCGTCCTCCTGGACTTTCCTCCTGCCCCCTCAGACTCAGGTGTCTACCAAGAGACAACAGGTGATTTCTGAGTTTTCACATCTGAGCAAGTTCCTAGAGGAACAGCAGAGCATCCTCTTGGCACAATTGGAGAGTCTGGATGGGGACATCTTGAAACAACAGGATGAATTTGATTTCCTGGTCACTGGAGAGATCTGCCGTTTTAGCACTCTGATTGAAGAACTGGAAGAGAAAAATGAGAGGCCAGCAAGGGAGCTCTTGACGGTGAGGCCTGAACCCTTCCCCATCTCTCCTGTGGTCATTGCATCAAGGACCGGAAGGTCTCAAGTCTGGCCATACTTCCCCAAGAGTTCCCTGGCTACTTTGCTCTCTGATCTCCATCCCTCCATCCCACCATTCCTCAAATAGGGAGGATACTTTCCTTAACTATTTCACAGGGCTTTTGTGAGGATCCAATAATAAAATGAAAGTGAAGTAGCACTTTGAAAAGTATCAAATACTTTGCAAACAAATGTCAGATGTTATTTTCTTTCTTTCTTTTTTTTTTTGAGTTGGAGTCTCACTCTGTCGCACAGACTGGAGTGCAGTGGCCGCTCCCGGCCACCGCAGCCTCACCTGCTGGGCTCCGGCGATCCTTCCACCTCAGCCTTCCAAGTAGCCGAAATTACAGGCATGCGCTACCACCCCCGGCTGATTTTTTGATTTATTGTGGAGATGAGGTCTCGCTACCCAGGCGGGTCTTGAACCCGCGGGCTCAGGCAATCCACTCACCTCAGCCTCCCAAAGGCGCGGGATTACAGGCTGAGCCACCGAGCCCGGCTCAGATGTTATTTTCAACACAAATCATTCTCTATAACCTAAATGTCACCATCTACCAATCAGGAAGTTCATCCTGGTCTATTTTACTTCCTTGCATTGGAGATATATTGGGGTTCCAACAAGGCAGCATGATTTAGGGGGACACCCTTGGGACTGGGGAATAGGAGACCTTGGTATGAGACTTACCTTTGCCTCTAATGAGCAGGTGCAGGTCGCTTCACCATCTAGGTCTTATAAAATAGAGATTTGGGGCTCTGATCCTCAGAGTCTGGTAAGCGCTAATACTCTGACTCTATGGATTTACTGTCTTTTTTCTGTCCAGAATTAGAAATACGGTATTTTGTCTTTCTAGTCATAAGAAAAGTGGGGAGGGAGAAGCTAGAAACTGAAATCCTGCTATCTTTTTCTCCTAGGACATCAGAAGCACTTTAATAAGGTAAGTGATATAGTTTCCCTCTTTTCCCACATAAATACACATACATGCACCATGTGCCTAGTTATTGCCATACAAATATACAACATTCTTACATTCTCAGCTTTAAGAAGGATTATTCCCAGACCCTGCCATTTCTGTTCCCATAGATGTGAAACCAGAAAGTGCCGGAAACCAGAGGCTGTGGCCCCTGAGTTGGGCCAGAGGATCCGGGACTTCCCCCAGCAGGCCCTCCCGCTGCAGAGGGAGATGAAGATATTTTTGGGTAAGAGGACCCCAGGCCTCCAGGTGGGCATGAAGCCCAGGTTTAGGAATGGCCTCTCTCCTCCACTGCTGAATGGTTGTGAGATTTTTGGCAAGGTTTATTCCTGCCAGTGCCTTGGTTTCCTTATTTGCAGATTTTTATAAACTCTGACTATCAGGATATTGTAGCATGAAGAGAAACAATAAAGGCAAAGATTTCTGGGGGCAAAATTGAGCTGATTTGAAAAAATAATTAAATCTGATCATCTGGTCAGTTGGCATTAAGGAATATAAAAGATAATGAGTAACATCTGTCATTCTCAACGAGTTAAAAAACCGACAGCAGTATTTGTAATATGTGATAAGTTTTTGATGATGAATGTTGTTAATTAATAGCCAGTGATAGTGTTTACCTTTATCCTGTGGTGGCTGACTCTTCTTCCCTCCACCCTGCTTTCCTTCTGTTATTCTGGCTCTCAGAGTTGGACTGCCCCTGCAGGGACTGTGCCCTCTCCCTTTTCCGGAACAGGGAGTGGTAGCAGGAGAGAAATGGGAGACTTTGAAATGAGAGTCAGGAATGGAATATGGGTCTCTGCCATCCACCTCGCTCACTAACCATGACATCATGAATGATGTCACCTATTTCTAAATGACCTACCCACAAGAGTGTCACCCTAGAAGAACTTTCCCCTTAAGTCCATTTCCTACAAGTACTCCCAGTGGCCTGGCAGTGAAGATATTTTCTTAGCAAAGGCTGACTGACCTTTGATAAAAAAGATTATTTCCAAGCAGAAAGGAAAATTAATGAACCCACTTAAAGAAGCAGATTCATTAAGCAGATGTTTTGGGGCATTTACTATGTCCTGGGCTCTGTGGACACGGAGGTGAGCAAGGCAGATAATGGTCCCTGTCCACTCAGAGCTAGGACAGCAGATCTCGAAGTGAGGCTCCAGGCCAGCAGCAACAACATCTCAAGAACTCATTTGAAATGCACATTTTCAGTCCCACTCCAAGCACCTGAGTTTGAAACAGGTGTGTTTTAGCAAGGGTTCCAGGTGATTCTAACACAAGCTGCAGTTTCGGACCACTTGTTTAGAGGATTCCAGGTTCTAGTCTTCTCTTTGTCCCTTCCCTCTTCTGGGCCTTAGTTTTCTCATCATTAAGTGTCCTATGGCTTTATGAGAATGATGAAATCTCATCCTGTTTTATTTCCTCTTTACAGAAAAACTCCGCTTAGAGTTGGGCTATGAGCCAGGTAAGCAGCCTACGTCAGGGTGAGAGTGAGAAATCCCTGAAAAGGAGAGACAATTTTGCAGAGGTCTGCCCTGGGTTCTACAACAGTCATATACACATACACACATGTATCTCCATACACATTATATATACACATATGTGTATGTATATCATATATGCATAAGGATATGTATATATGTCACTGTCTTTGTAAGGCTTTCAGGAGAACCATGAGGAAGGACAGGCAAACATACATACCACATGTATAGTATGAAACTCACGTTCTAATCTGCCTGTGTTGGGTAAATAGAAAAATTGAATCAGAATAGGATTAAATCAGAATGGGATAAGGTCCATTAGGGAAGACTTTCTGAATAAAGGGAACATTGATCTGGGCTGAGAATCACATTCTTTTTTTTTTGAATTGGAGTCTCACTCTGTCACCCAGACTGGAGTGCAGTGGCAGTGGCTGCTCCCAGCCACCGCAGCCTCGACCTGCTGGGCTCCGGTGATCCTTCTGCCTCAGCCTTCTGAGTGGCTGGAACTGCAGGCGCACGCTACCACACCCAGCTAATTTTTTGATTTATTGTAGAGATGAGGTCTCACCAAGTTGCCCAGGCGGGTCTCGAACCCGCGGGCTCAGGTAATCCACTCACCTCAGCCTCCCAAGGCGCGGGATTACAAACTGAGTCACCGAGCCCGGCAGAATCACCTTCTTATATCTGTCAGGAACAACCGCTTCCTCTCAGATGTCATTTCACAGATAACTGAAGGAGGGTGACCTGTGGTTGGGAAAGGAATGCATGGGATGAACCACTTCATGACTGTTGTTCCCAATCAGCCAGCCAAAGACCCTGGGGAGTCATGGAGTTGTGGGAAGGGGTTTCCTAATCCATGGATATACTTGAATTTATAGTGTTTTTGAATATTTTGAATATTTATGGCATTTATGAATACTAAAAGTGACAACATGCAGGTGTCTATGGAAGTTTTTGGTGTCAAAAACTGGTCCTCAACTCTGCCAGTTTTGGAATGACTGAGGCACAGTAAATAACCTATAGGTGAGCCAGAGAGCCTGCAGGAGTGAGGACTGGGTAAACGCATCACAAGCACCCTGGAGGAAGGCAGAGGAGGAATCATGAAGTATGGACTGAAGGGAGACATGTCTCTACCTTCTGAGATAGAGACACAAGTGTGGGGGGCAGGCTGATGTGTATCGGCAGCAGGAGGAGACCTGAGCAGGCACACATAGTTTTGGAAGCCATCAGTTTGTGATGAGCAGAATGGTTCTCCAGAGGTCCACAGGGGACCAGATGAGAGCTGTCACATCCTCTGAGGCAGGCTTCTCAGGCTTTAACATGGGCATGAGTCACCTGGGCGTCTTGTGAGGATGCAGATTCTGAGAGTCTGTATATCTAACAAGTCTCAGGGGATGCCACGCTGCTGGACCACAGAGGCACTATCTATGTTGTTGGTAATAATGACATGAACAGGTGGGTCCCAGGGGGAGTTTTATTACCTTTCTTGAAGGTAATACGTAGCATGTCTGCTGATATGTGTCCCTTTTGATTGTTCCTACAGCTCACATCTCTCTAGACCCCCAGACTTCCCACCCCAAGCTCCTCTTGTCTGATGACCACCAGAGGGCTCGATTCTCCTACAAATGGCAGAACTCGCCAGACAATCCCCAGCGTTTTGACCGGGCCACTTGTGTCCTGGCTCACGGTGGTTTCACAGGAGGAAGACATACATGGGTAGTGAGTGTAGATCTGGCTCATGGGGGCAGCTGCACCGTGGGTGTGGTGAGTGAGGATGTGCGGCGGAAGGGGGAGCTTCGGCTGCGGCCAGATGAGGGGGTGTGGGCGGTGAGGCTGGCCTGGGGCTTCGTCTCAGCTCTGGGTTCCTTTCCCACACGGCTGGCCCTGGAGGAGCAGCCACGGCAGGTGCGGGTGTCTCTTGACTATGAGGTAGGCTGGGTTACCTTCACTAACGCTGTCACTCGTGAGCCCCTCCATACCTTCACTGCCTCTTTCACTCGGAAGGTCTTTCCCTTCTTTGGGCTCTGGGGCCGAGGGTCCAGTTTCTCCCTGAGCTCCTGAGAGGGTGTGGTTACTCTTCTCTAAGTAAGGACTCAAATCAAGTACTATGTGAACTTGACCCCTGGCTGGGTAACCTGGAAGACTTGCAATAGAAATGACTGCTTTAGACGATGAGATGGGACTGGTTGGTGAGGAACAAGGGATGTGACCTTCAATTTGCTGATCAAGACATTTCCCAGTTCCCAGTGGATACCTGGGAACTCAGGCTGCTGCCCTGCCAGCTCTCCTCACCACCATCCTCATCAGGCACAGAAGTAGCTATATAGTAGAAAGGGTCCTGAATTTAGAGCTGGAAGATCTGAGTTCTAGAACTAGCCTTGTTACCAACCAATTGTATGACTCTAAGTAAGGCACCTCACCTCTCTTCATCTTGCTTTCTTCCCAAAATATTAGAGTTCGTTTACTCTCATCATCAAGAAACACTTATTATGTGCTAACTATTGACCAAGCAGTGTGGTAGCACTGGTGATTTGAAAATAAAACAAACAAATAAAAACACCTGTCCTGTATCTGAAGGAGCTCATGGTGGGGGGTGGGTGGTGGAGGGAGGAGGTGTGGGGAACAGAGACATAAATAGGAAATTATGGCACAGTGTGGTGGGTGGTATCAGAGGGAGCTGATCTCAGTGTTATAGAAGCTCAGAGTAGGTGGGGGACATAAACAAGCCTGGAGTAAAAAGGTGAGTTGGAGATGACTTTCTGGAAGGGATGGGTCTAAAGGATGCATATGGTGAATGAGGGAAGGAGAGGGAGAAGGAACTTAAGAAGCAGGAACAGTAGACTACTAGTTGCATGATCTGTGACCCATAGGACACTGGTTGTCTCTGTTATCCTTATAAGCAGATGTGCGCCATACCCCACCCACATACACCACTCACTTCCTCCACCTGGTGGTGCCATTTCTGGATGAGATGATGGTGCAGGGCCTTGGAGCAAGGGGACAAGGGAGATATGGTCATAAACCATAACCCAAGGATAACACTCAATCCCTAGGGAAATTATCTTCCTGATCAGTTAATTACCACCTGAGATCAAGAAATGAGAGGATGGAAGCAAATGAGTCACAAATAGCTCAACTGTGGAGGCAGAAATAGCATTGTGTTAGTTAAAAAAAAAAATCCCAGGAGGAGGTAGGGGTGTAAATCGGATAACCTGTGAGCATTAGCCTGAAGAATTGAGTCTGCTCTAGGGCTGAACAAAAAGTGACATATGAGAGATGGAGTAGAAGGAGAAGAAGATTAGGGATTTGAAGATGAGAGGATTTGGAGAGGAGAGCTCTGTGACAGACAGGAAGCCAGGTGGTATGGGGAAGCCTGTGGTCACGAATGGTGTGAAGAAGCTGGTTACAGGTGAATCAGAAGTCCCTCTGCCTGGTGCTGACCCTAGGACAGATAGAATCAGCAGGATTCGCTGGGCTCGGTGGCTCAGCCTGTAATCCTGCGCTTTGGGAGGCTGAGGTGAGTGGATTGCCTGAGCCCATGGGTTCGAGACCCGCCGGGCAACTTGGCAAGACCTCATCTCTACAATAAATCAAAAAAAA